AGGGAGGGCCAGTGCCATGAAAGACACCACTGGCATGGTGTTGCGCCCCAGCCTGTGTTCACGCAGCTCCACACCCCCTTTTCCTCTCTTTCAAAACCTCTAACAAATCACAGCCAGGAGAATTTGGGGACAGCATTGACCAGCTGCCCTTGCAGCAACTGCAGTTTATCTCCCTCCAGCTGCTGTCGAGCTGTGCCAGGTGTTTTTGGTGTGTTTTTTGTGTAGCACATCTCAGTCACAGCTGCCCCATTGCTGGCAAAGCCATGTCTTTCAGAAAAATCACAGACCTTGCAGAAGTTCAGAGGGATGGAGAAATGATGAGGATAGGGTTTTGGGATTGGTTTCATTTTTTTTTTTCCAGAGAAACAGTCATTCTTGTGCAGTGACTCAGCATCTTTGCAAAGCTCTGGTGCTGCAGAGGTCCAGATCTGGCCACTGATGCTCTCCAGGCAGAGTGAGGGGCAGAGACTGAGGGTCAGCTAGGAAAGGCTCCTCTGCTCCACAGCACAGGGCCAGCTCAGAGTCAGGCTAAAGGGGAAGCTCAGGTTACACCACCAAGTTTGTATGTATCTCATAGCAGGCAGCCCATCCACACGGAATTCCAAAGGAATGAGGCTCATGCAGTTACATCATCCAGCTGTCAGCAYCTCTCTTGAGTAACTTTAATGAGMTCTGGGAAGAAAATCAGAGTAGATGGGTACCTGTGGGTGGGTGAGCGTCTACAAGGCTTGGGAAAATTGGCAGCTGGTTGGAGGAARSATCCCAAAATTATCACTCCAGTGAYACAGGCAGGCAAAGTTTGTCAGGAGATTTAGCCCACATGTAGGTGAGGACCAGCCATGTCTGGTGRGGTCCAAAGGAGGAGGGCCCAGGGTCAATTACAGGGGTGGCAGGAGTTAAAATGCACCAAAGGGATGGGGCAAGCTGCTATCAGCCAGCCTCGGAGCAAGGAGGGCACCTTTTACTTGCCTGGGTGTGGGAGTTTTTGAGAGTTTGGCAGTTTTTTGTCACAGGTGGTGGCTTTAAGGAGTCAGGTAGGAACTGGGTATTTCTGGAAGAAGAGCCATCTATTTCTGGACTTGTTGAGGAACACCAAGTTAGATGGAGACAGCAGCTGCAGCAGGCCCCCACTGAAGCCCTCCCTCCTGACGGCTGATACTGTCATGCCCCACAGCAGGTCAGAGGAGCTCCCTGTTTCTGGTGAGGCTGGCACCACCTTGTACGGCAGAGACACCTCTGTGAGTGTCTCTGTGATCTTACAGCAGCATCACTGCCCAGGAAGTCCCCCCTCAGGGACAGAAAGGGGTGTCCATTGCCTTGTCTTTTGGCCCTTTGGCTGCTGGGTCATTGTAAAATCAGACTGAAGGCAACCTTAGTTTTGGGTGTGCAAAGCAGACCTAACAAACTTGAACTCTTAACAGCAGCAGGGATTAAATGTTGCAAATTTCAGACCCTCCCATTTATCTGTAAACTCTGCTGCTTCCTGTGTAATTAATTTCTTGACTCTCTTTCCTTCTTCCTATACATCCCCAAGTCTGCCATTTCATCCCTTCTCTTTGGAGTGTTTGCGTTTTAGAGGCATTTCTATATTTGGTTTGACCACTTCCTGGGCACAACAGCCTCTGTAGCCTGTAACASAGTTCATGCAGCTTCTCTGCAACGAGCTAAGTGAAACTATGGAAAGGAAAAAAAGGAAATCTACCTTTGTTCTCATTTTAAYGAGCATTACATTTGTCCTCTTTTGTGACTGCTAGCCAGCACTATTTCCCAGCATTTTTACTAATAAAGCTATCCTTATAATTGCCTAAAAACCTTCCAACYTTTCAGAACTCCTCTCCAGCCACAGGCAAGCTGGACTCACTTTYTCTAACTGCTGGGGACCTGCCTCCAAGAGTCAGCACGTCTGCAGTATGAATGCAGATGCTGAGAAACACTTTCAGTTCTCAAATCATGCTATGTATTTTCCCACAGGATTACATGATTGACTAAATAAGAATTTATCTATGAYTCACAGATAAGTTTACAGGTCTAATTGGCTATAGAACATGCACTATTTGTCTTTTGACAGTCCAGGGGAAGAGCTACCCAAGCCCAATAGACTTTTCGTCTGAGCAAGGGACTGAAAAACCAGAAGCCAACTGAATATAAGCAAGAAAAAGTGGAATAAATAGAGATCAGAAAACAAAAATACTTGTACCAAACTCACAATATCTGACAGCTACAACAGACTCCRAATGTGAGCTATGTGTATTATAAATACACATACATATTTTGTTTTAAATGTAGTTCATAGGAYTTCAAGGACTAAATTGTATGAAATGGTAACACAGGCATCTCCAACTAAGCTACAGGACTTTATATCCAGWATAGGCAAAACACTCTATGTAATTCAAAGAAAACCAGGTGGGCAAMCTGGAATGAGRTAGTATTATAGCCTTRTTTTTATACCCAGCTGTATAAAYTCTCCCACTAAACAGAAAATTKGGAAGTTCACTGATACTTACAAAACTTTCTGCTGCTCTTGTAAGAGCACAGAGACATTTRCAGAAAGAAATTATTCCCGGTGAGTTGCTGAATTTAGGTAGTTTATAGAAGAAATAAGTCCTRAGAGCACACATTTAGCAAGGAAAGTATCAACGGCAAAAAAACCAAAAATAGCATTACCTATTTATCTCAGTCCTGGGAAAGAAAAAAAAAAATGCAAATAAGCTGTTAGAAACTGATTCATAATGTACCTCCACCAGAAAGTTGTGTGTAATTCCTAAATTCATATGATTTGGCAGCTTTACATCCCTTAGCACTTTTTTTATTATATATATAAATCTAGCTTATAAATATTAACACTACATTGCAAAACATTTGTAATTACCAGCCCTTTACAAGCACAAAATTGTAAACTATAAGCAACAGCATGTGMCCCAGAAAGCCTAGCTCATATTGCCAATAAATGTTCTAACAGCAGCCTGAACATCACGTTAAAGCTCTTTGATTTGCCAGATAATGTCAGTACTTAAAGCATCAAGTATAGCCTTCTGCTTGAGCCAGAAAGGATTATTTCAGCTGCTAGAGACCAGATCCACTATCCTTGCACTCACCCCCACCTGTTTGCAACTTCTGTTACACCACTAGTGAGTTTTTTTTTTTCCTTTTGCCTTTCTCCCTGCCATGATAGAGCTCAGAGTGATGCAGATCATTCATAGGAGCATGAGACTGGTTCTCTCCTATTTCTTCTCAACGTTTACTGCTGACTTGTCCATCCAGAGCTGTCTAACATGGACAAGCCCAGAAAGGCTGATTGCTCCTCCAGTCCACAAACTTTGCTGCTGTAYTGCCAGGGTTACCCCAGGGGACCATCTTCGTACTTCCCAGGAAGAGCTAAATGCTGTAACACCTGCCAGGGGCTGCCACCCTCCATTCCTGGCCCTTTGATTTGTGCTTCTCCCACCCTGAGGCAGCCTCTGCTTCTGCAACCTCCAGCGCAGGGCTSGGTGTCTGCCAGGAGCTGCCTCCCAGGGGGAACAGCAGCAGAGAGGCTGAATAAAGTGCCTTGTCCAAAAAGCTAAAGAAGGCACCTCCCTAAGGGTTTGGGTGCCCACAGCTGGCAGTGGGAAGGGAAGACCATGACTCCCCAGACCTACATGCTYACCCTTATTTCCATGTCCTAGGTGGAAAGCGCCCATCTCCATCAGGAGAAAAAGATACTCCAACAAGCAAAGTAAGTAAAGAAGCTGCTTCAGCCCTTTGGGGGTGATGTGGCATGGCATGCATGGGACATGGGGGAGCCCTCTGAGTCACTGCAGAGGCAGCTGGCAGGCACAGCATGGACAGCAGCCATGGCAAGGCATTTTGYATCCCAGATGAGGGGAAATCTCTTTGCATCCAGTGGAGGATGTAGCTGCCCTCTGATGCACCACTGTGCTGGATTACCTGGAGCCTCTTTGGTCCTTTCTGTTTGGGGAGAAGGYAGCAGGAGGGGCCAGCCATCCCCTCCAGGTGCCTCAGACACCACCTGGCAGCTGCARTGAGGCCCCTGGCATTTGTACATCACAGCCAGACTCACAGCCTTGTGAGGGAGCCACAGTGGGGTAGTCTCTGCTGCTCTCCACCTCATTTGGCCCTGCTTCCTCCCCTGCACATGAGGTGGCGGGCTGCTGAAGCCAGGGGGCTGGCAGCACAGCACAGCCTACATTTGCTCACACACAAGCAAATAAATATGTTCCCCACGCAWAACATCATTTAGGACTTTCTCTAAACAGATGTCAGTATGAAGTGTTCTCCTAATAAAGTAATTTCTGCATATTGAATATGCAAATAGGGAAGACTCATATGACAGGATCACAAGTGCTCACGTGAATCAGGTGTTGGTTTAAATTCAGGCTTCTGCCTTTTCCCTCTTGTGGGTAAAACCATTAATGTRGCAAAGGTATAATACTTTTACCACTTTCACAAGTTGCAGTATTAGCAAAAGCTCTCTTCTAGTTAGTCATGTGCATTGGCAATTTCATGGCAGTTTTAAGGCAGAACAATAATGTTTGAAAACAYCATAAATTGTCTAAGATAGCAGCTTTAATGCAATATTGAGAGACTGACATCCTTCCTTTCAGGTTGCAAAACAAGTATGCYTAAAAAACCCCGTTACCTCAAGCCWAAGTGAAAGCTCAGCTCTGAAATTTTACAGGAGTAACCTGTTCAATCCACCTCATAATAAAAACCGGCTAGACTGATAAAGACAAGGCTAGGAGAAAGCAGGATGTAAAATGACCAATCTCTATCACTTAGATGTTTATGTGGCACAGAGACAAATTTCCAAAAAGCTGCAGGCTGCCARACCTGTGCCCACAGGCAATGCCTCTGTGCCCCAGTACCCAGCCAGCGACCCCAGGCAGAACTAAGGCTGCGTTGGTCATAAACTAAAATACAGTCAGAAAGCAGGSAAGAACTTAATTTCTAAGACAGACATGTAAAACTGATTTCAGTTAACTGAAAAATGAAAACAAAACAAAGCAAAAAACCCAAGAAGATTGTACATCTAGGTTTAARGTCAGTGAGCATTGCTGTGTGACACAAGTGTGTATAGATTAGAGAAAAGAGAAATTTTGAAAAGCCATCAGTTTTATTCTCAGTTTCCCCTACTGTCACACAAGTTCATGCTTTTGCACAGCCTATGCTCAGTGTGTAGCTGTGCTGGCAATAATCCTTGTCTTGTGTTGTACACCAAAGAATGACAATCACATGTGTTTTCTTCCTCTTTCCTCAGCACAGACCTGCAGCTTTCCACCAAGTACCAAGGTAAAGAATAAAACTTACACCCCGACCACCCCCCTCCCCCCTCTCTCTGTGGCAACTGAGTACAAAACATCCACTTATTAGAAAGGCAAAGTGTCCATCATGCTCCTGCAGAAGAGAGAAAACCCCATAATCAGACTATTTGCTTAGGATGCAGAAAAACACCAGTTTAAGCCTACGTAAAAGTAAGTGTGTGCACATAAAACTGTAACACTGATGTGCAGCCCCACTCTTGGGCAGCCACTGGCCAAGCAGACTGCAGCACACACTCACAATATCTGAGGCTGAGTGTAATGCTCTCTAGCCCAAACAAGACAATTCAGGAGGCTGAACCTTGTGATGATGTCCTGGGTGAATGTCCTCAGCCCCTGCACAACTTAGGCTGCGGGATTGCTTCTCTGTCTCTTCTATTCTCCTCCTCCTTCCCTTCAGCCTTTGGTAGCCAGCAGAGCCTCTCTTGACTCCTGGCATCTTTCCACAAAGAGTTTCAGTTTCAGCATGACAATTTCTAAGTAATTTAAATGGACAATTGCAACCAGATTTAGTAATAAAGAAATCTTCAGTTGAAAAACAAAGGGAGATTTAATACCTTGAGGCTGAAAGAGTTTTGGTTAATCTCTCCATTATAAAAATATAGCAGATATATCAACAAATGGCTGTCTCTGTTGGAAAAGAATAAGGTTTCCCTTTCTAATGTCCCGCTGCCTCTAGAAGGAAGAAAGAAAAAGCCACGAAACCAAACCTGCCCTGTAAGGTTGCACATTTAGTTTCTGATAAACCAGAATGGAGCAAATAGCTGCACTGCAATGCAGGAAAGACTGGTATGATAAACACTTTGCTCGTTCATTTTACCTCCCTTCTTTGGGGTTAGCTTTAGGAGTTCTGGCAATGCACCCCAAAGTAATTTAAGAGGTACTTTAATTTGGTATGTGTGTCTTTCCAAACTTATCATAATGGATGGCAGGGGTGGGGGAACAGCCACTCCTCAACTGCTGCACTTCACAGGCTCATGTGGTTGTTTGCCTGAGTTAATGCACTGGGCTCTGAGAGGCAGCAGCAGCAGAAAGGCTGTGGTTTGCTGCCTTTGCTCTGTAAATGTCCATTGCAGCAGAGGGTGAGCGAAGCTGCCTCTTGAGTCACTGGTGAGGGGCGATCACCAAAAGCCCTATAAACTGAAGAGCAAAGCGCTGCCATTTAGCAGCCTCACCGGGTGGTTTTGTTGGTTTTTTTTTTTTGACAAAGATGACATCAGTTAACTGAAAGTTGGTGACCAGCAGATCAGTGGGTGTTTAGTAGAAAATTTTGAAGAAAGTGGGCCAGATGACAGAAAAGGGTGTGATGAAATGAGCTCATCATAACTGTGACTGTGGGATGGACTGTGGGGGAAGAAGAAGGGGTGGAACTGTAATGGGGAACATGCCAAGTAGCTGTCTGGTTYTGAGAGCTTTTGGTGTCCCGAGGAAAAGCCCCAGAGCGTGGTTGGAAGACAGTCCTGGCAGGGMTGTTAGTGCAATAGGAGAGACAGCCCTATGGAGTGTTAAACTTGGCCTGTGAATAATGGAAGTTTTCACGCTTGCTCTGTTGGTGTGTGGGAGAAATGACACCACCYCTGCACTTCGGTCTTCCTGCTGATAAGAGAAGGTTGATGATAACAGCCTTTCAAAACATGATGACTGGAAGGATTCTGGAAAATGTGACTTAGTGCAAATCTTGGTTAGACCTATGTATTTGAAGGGACAAGAGGTGCTCCAGACTTCTTTCAGTGGATTGGGAGCCACTCACTCGTGAAAATTAAGAGCCTACCTGTTCTCATTTCTCAGACCCATTAAGAGAAATACTGCTGCCCTTCCATCTTGTCAATCATGATAGGGTGGGGAGAGAGACATGCACCGAGTGATGAGCAAATCTACCCTGACTGTTCTGCTCCTTAAAATTTCTGGAATTTCTAAATCACAAAACTTTATAAAACCTCAAATCAAAAATCAGAATTTWTTTTCAGTGAAGTGTCCTCAAGGCCAGGAGATTTTTCACACAAATCAGATTCTAAACAGACAATATTATTTGCATGAACTTGGAAAGTCCAAGACAAATTCTGCAGGGATTTTATTCTAACAACGTTGTCCTGCTTCCAGGCTTGAAAAATAAAATCTAACCCTTCAGGGTTTTTAACCCAGGAAACAGAGACCTCTGTTCCACTTAAAGAGGATGAAAGGTAGCTACAAATGTCACCATGAGCCCAGCAACACTCTCTCAAAACACTGCAGATAACAGAGGATACCACTAAAAAGCTGGACTTGCTCACTGGCATCAGCACCCAGTGCATTCAAAATCAAGAACACTGTTACAAATGGAGATAGGGGCTTAGATAGATTTCTGCCTTTTGTCTAGGCCTTTGGCATTCAGCAGTTATGTATCAGGGTGACCAACACCCCAGAACCCAGTCTCATTCGCTAGTTCTTTAATAATAGCTGATTAGGTCTAATACAAAATGAATTTTTGCTTATTAGACACAAGAAAATAACAGAATAAGGGGTTTGTGGCAAATTATATACTATACAGAAATAAACCACTAGTAGGCTAAGTGCAGCAGTTTAAAATGTAGCTTAAAATAAATCTTAAAATGCAGCGTGCAATAACGGTATCTATGAGTTCAGCTAGCAAACAGTACAACTTAGGATTCTGTGTATATTTTACCAATCCAGTCAGTGGTGGGAGCGTACATTGAAGTCCTTTCCCTCAATCCCCAGAGAAGTAGCTACAAAGCCTGCGTCCAGACTTTGAGAGGCCCTAACACGCTTCCAGGGTGTATGTGAGACACTTCTGCCTTTTGGAAATTTTGTGCATCTTTTATAGAGCAAAACTGAGACTTTGGGTCACTGTTATCATTTTCTTCCATCTCTTTCCATAACTACCCTCCATACTAAGATGTTGATTCCTGGTCAGATGCTTAGACTTTAGGGCATCACAGATAACTCCCTTCTGGGCCCTTTGGTCCAGCCTGGGTTATCTCTTGCATATGCCAGCCGGATTTGAGAGAGGGAGAGGGGGATTACGTCCTGCCACAAACACAAGGGCCAACRAATTTTTAACTTCTGGCTCCAAGGACTTACTTAGTGCACATTGTCCCTTTGGATTCAATGAGTCATCCTGCTAGTTATTTAATGCACAATCACCCACAAGCCATGAGCAAACATCTTCAGGAGGCAAAAGSAGGGACTAGTCTAACCAGAGTTAGGAAGGCATTTGCCCACACAATCTTACCTCCTCCTTCACTAATGGCTCTTCTTCCTCCTCCCTCTTTTCACAAGGAGATGAGGGCTCCAGGGAAGGGATTAGCYGTYACTTAATCTCTGGAGAGGCYRGGCTCCTTCCAGGATAGCACATCTSTGACACAGCTCACACACACATKCWCTTGGGGTCWTAATTKCCTYSTAGACCCTACAGTCTCTGGCAGCTTGCTGGGACTCCTGCTCCTCCCTTCATTCCTCCTTTTTCTTATGCTTTTTACTCTGCAAGTCATCCTGACCCCCTTCCTTTAATTCCTCCTCTAAACACCCCATATTAAGTCTTGCTCAAATCCCTAATGCTCTCCCTTCACAGGCACAGGCATATGTTTCATGTAACTTTCCTTTCTTGTCCACCAGCTCCCATTTCCTGGTTAGGTGGATACCACTGGGATGATCTATCTTTTAGGACAGCCCTAGGGATGATTCAGCCTCCTCTGCTCATTTGTACTGCGCTCTCTCGGGGTCATCACCACTGAGCAGGGCTCTTTGGGCTCTCCAGATGTGCAGCCACAGTCTGCACAACTGGGGAATGACTGTGCATTTGTTGTGGATTTACATTTTTCTCAGTGCTCTGTGTTTGTGTCAGCAGTGCTGCTGGAGTGCATAGGCTATACCAGATCTGCTCACGTGTCCAAACTTCTTCAAGGTATAATCACGTTGAAGCTTTGCTCTTTCTGTCCCCCATTTCCCTCCTCAGGAACGCGTTGCCAAAAGAGATTCGATGAATTCTGCTGAACTGTGGTACTCGACTGTCAGCCACGATGTAAAACATGAAGTCTCTGTGATTGACAGCAACAATCTGACAGAATATGCACTTGTCAGTGTGCCCAAGGGGAAGGCAGATKTGTCCAGCCCTGAAGAGCCTGGCGAATATGATGATGTCCTGGTAAATTAGGAGGCACTCTCTTGCCTGAGTGTGTGCAGCCACGATAACCATCCTACCTCTGCTGTCAGGACTTCAAACAAACACTCTCTCTTGTTACCCAGCTCGCTCATTAGGCTTCATCCAGTGCTTTAGTGTGAGACAAACCTGTCCATGAACTGGTGATCGGAGAAAGAAACACAGACCAGCTACAGGACTTGGCAATTAAACCAGGCGGAATCAGCAGCAACTGCCATCATAAGGCAGTGTTCCTGTATAATAAATCAGGAGCTACAATATTTGAAGGAGCTGAGGCTGCACATTTTTCTGGACTTTTAAAATTTTTTTAAGGGGTCTTAAAGAAATACTGCCATAAATCTCAAAAATGCAATAATAATGGTTTTTCTGTTTGTTTGAGGAATGTTTCATGTTTTAAATGAAAGCATAAACTTTGTGTTAGATGCACTTACTCTTGCCCAAAATTTCTCTGACCTGCTTGATTCATACCATTATACAMTGCAAAATTTTTATAAATAACTCATTTCTCAAATTCCCCCCTCCCCCTTCTAATGTAATACTACTTATCTTAGTGTGAAGTCTTAAGGAAGTTGGATTTGAATTAAAAAAAAAAAAAATTAAGAAAGGGATAAAAAGAAATATTACACCCACTGAGCAGCTAGTTGAACACTGATGGTGCCCAGGTGGTAACTACCTCTCAGCAGAAGTCCAGGTGTTGCTTTCCATGACACAATGCTTCCAGCTCATTCCTGCTGGACTCTCCAGTTTGGCTTTCTGCAATGCTACACTATCACTCCTCACAGCCCATCATCCCTCTGCAAGCAGCATTTCTGGACATGTGCAAAGGACTGAAAACAAGTATTCAGCCGTTTGCCAGAGCTCGTAAAGTGATCATGTGCCTGTGTTCTTGCATAAGCATGTTTTTTCAGTCCCTCCRTTTTTGTAACAAAACAGTATGGAAGAAAATGTTGAAGAGTTTTTCTGATTTTAAGTTTTCCTTGTATGTGATCACTGCTGCAGCTCTGGTTTCGTGGTGCAGYGCCCACCTGCCATTTTCACACTGGGGATGTCCGAGCACTGTGCAGATGTCCCGGGTACCACTGCTGTGACAAGTAGCTGAGTCTACTGGCTGCTGAGCCTACACAGATCACATTGCTGTGGGATTTTAAAGGGCTGATTGTACACTCCACAAGTCACTTTTTAACAGTGTCTTGGTTGTCTCAGTTATTTATCCTCATTCCTTCTATTAAAATTAATTGTTCACAAAAAATACCTAACTTGATGTAATAATGTGTTTTCACACTGCCGTATCCCTAGTGGATTTGGTCATAATTAATTAACTTTTTTTATTTTCTTTTACATGATCAATTTATCTCACAGATACATAAACAAAAGCCACTTTTTTTTTTTTTTGGACACTTCCTTCAATGAGAGTTCAAAACCTGACGGGATGCAGTCTGTAAAGTTGGGCATTTTCTGTTGAATATCACATCTTACTACAGCTCCACCTCCTTTCCAGGGAAATGCTGGGGTAAAGGTATGGAAGTAGAGTAGATGGATGGAARAAAAAGAATGCTTGACTCCATTTTTCCTCTCAACTCTAAACACTCATATGGATATCACCATAAGGAAGTCTTATCATTACATTATTTTTCACTTTCTAGAATTGAGATAAAGAAGCATTCAAGGAAAGGATCAGGTGTCTGGGTAAGAGTAGTAAGACTGAGCAGCATCTCAACAGCAACTCATCTCTTCACTGCTGGTACTTTCAAAGCCTGCTGCTTTTGGGACAAGCCATACAAGCATGAAATTTATCCTTCCCCAGTGTGAGAATCAAAAGGAATATCCCTTCTACCTGCATGCTGCATAGAATATTACAGGAAGAGAAATTATGGTTCGTAAAATCAATGCTATAGCTAACAAACCAAGAGAGGATCAGAATTAGCCACAAATATGTGAGTCATGCAAACYACTGATTTGGTCCAGAATGTTTCCCAAGGTCAGTTTAAACATATTCAACAACTCTGTGTTTGAGTGTTCAGCTTTGTCAGATGCTTCTTACAGTTCAGCATTTGGAATTTCAATGATTATTTTCCAATTCAAACAGCTGAAAGACTGGAGCTGCTAAGGAACAAAACCAGTCACWTTAAGAGTAAAAAATAAATAATTTAATGTGCAATAATATTGTCAGATTACTCATTAAATAAACTAGTAACTTTAGAAAAAGAGAAAAACAATTTTCTGACATATCTTACAATACAAAATGTTTGTTAAAACAAATGTGTCTGTCCAACAGTACTAACATTTATAAGGCAATATATAAATGACAAGATATMCTTCACTAACATGGTAGTGAATACATTCAATTCTGTATAAAGTTAATGCTTAATTTTTATATCACAGCCACGCTTGCCTACATGGTCCTCTTCAGCACCTTCCTCTTAGCACTGATTCATCTCATTTGGTCTCTCATCAACAATTTACTATTTACTRCCTTATTAAGGCAAATATCTTAGATCTGTTCATTGTTGTTCCCAGTACTGGGCAGGAGATAGATATAATTGTAATATAATTATTAATAATATATATAAATTAAGGGTATGGACTAGTCTTCAGATTTATGAGTATGGGTCAAGTATCTGTCTATTCMCTAGCAGCAGTAGCTAATTATTCAAGCACACTGCTAATTCGACCCCTGAAAGATTCYTGTGACATTCAGGTGTGTTAGTGAACAAGATGTATCTCTTCATGCTGTTTCTTCCTTCTTTTGTATTTCATATTGAAGAAGAGAAAAATAGAGCAAAGAGCACCTTATCCAGGGAGACTGTAGGAAGAATAAGGAAAGTAAGAGAGTTGAAGCTTTCTTAAGAAGCTAGTGCAAAGGTCTTGCATGTCATTAAAGAATACAAATATATATATATACATATATACACACACATACTATATATATACATATATACACATTACTATCTATATACATATATACACATATATACATGTTTATACATATATATATATCTCTACACAAAGACACACACACACATATAGATATATATAGATATATATAGATTTTCAGGTTGTTTTACCAGGAAGGAGCAACAAAGAAACRGGGCATATGAAGTTAGGAGGGAAAAATATAACAGACGTGAGTATGGGTGGAAGTGAGCATTAAGGATGAAGCTGCGCAGATAATTTTGGATAAGCCAAGAGAAGAAGAAAGGARCCATGTGCAAGACTGCTTTTAAAGCTTGTGGAGAGCATTCAGATTTAATCCTAAGGCAAGACAAAACAGAGCATGCATCAAGTACATGATTTTCTCAAGGCTGAAATGGATTATTGAGATACCAGAACAAAAATAAAGGAGGTGGTAGTGGTGTCATAGCTGTACAACATTGTCATAAATATACCACATCTTCCATTTRCAATATTGCATCACAGGCAGTATTTATAGGGCAACAATTTTAGAAGTGTTTCTACCTAATGAATCTCTGCCCTGGGATTAATAGATGGGGAATCCCATCTTTTCTGGATGTGATGAAGACGAGGAATCTTCCCATCATTTCTCTGAAAGTGAAAGCAGTACAATATTAATATCAAWATGAAACTTTAATTAATTATTTCAACATATTCTTTCCTGTCTCTTTTACACTACTTTTTCYATGAATGCTGTCAATATATAAGGAACAAAATGCTTCTAAAAATTGGAACTCACGACTTGCTGATCTCTAGTCGTTTGATAAGAGTCCCAAGAAAAATCAATACCAGTTAATTGCAAACCTTACATACCCTGCAATRCTGAATTGTTAGCCTAAGATCATTCTAAAAGCACAAAGGTATGGCTCAGTAAATTRGGGGTGGGGGGAGGCAGCCCCATGCATTGTTTTCAGTGTGACTTCAAAGCTCCTGGGAGTTCATTTTATACAGACATTTCTATCAGGAAATATAAATGCATTGGAATCACTGCCCAGAAAACCTGCAAGAATGAACATTTGGTTCCTTTAAAATGTATCTCTGTGCATAATAAATCTTCAAAAAAAAGCTATTGAAAGACAAAAATTAGGAATCTTTTTCATCCCTTGCATTAAAATTTGTTTTGTTAGCATTCAAAACTGAACATACAATAAGGAGAAATATTTTCAATTACTTGTCTACCCATTATGGTACATACACATATGAGAATTTTTTTGTTTAGATAAAATGCAGTATCAGATCAGAAAAGTCTGTTTGGAGTCCATGGCTAAYCAGTCTCATCACTGTTCCCGTTCTCATCAGAGGACAGTGAGTCCCAGGTTTTAAGTTAAGCATAYCAAAACTTCCTGAAAACTATTAAAAATGTTCTTAACTGTTATGCAAAATATATTTATGAATTAATCTCAACATCTTTCTAGAAAGATTTTCCTCCTTTCCCATAAATATTTCTGCTCCTTGTGAAGAAACAGTTTCTTTAGTRTACAGCACTTACATGTGAGAGAAGTCGGGTCAAGCTTTAACCTGTCACATTCAGCTGTCCCAGGATCCAGAGTATCTTCATCATAAATATTTTGACGTAAAATATTCCTTATAAAATCTGGGTTCATAGTGTTTTCCATAAATCCCTCTGTTGATGGTGGTACAGAAAACACTAGCTGATAAATTACAGTGGAGCTTTCATTACTGAAAAACAAAGTTAAGGATGAATGCCTCTAAGTTTCAAGAGGATACTTTATTTTTTTTTAGAAAATTGACTTTTTGTATCAATGTTGGCATGGATTTTTTAAAAAACATTTTCTCAAGAAAAGCTTAATGAAAGAAAACTGCCAAAGATTCCAGTTTCTGCCTCCCCTTCCCTTCTCARAACAGCTCTGAAAGCTGTATACACACTTGAAGCCAGCCAGAGACGTTTTCAAATGCACAAAGGGTGATTGGACGTGTGTCCTAATGGAGTGCAGTTTCCAGCACTGGTGCTTCACAAGAAGCTACTGATCAGAGCATTTACAAAATCCTATGCACAGCTCAGCCTGGAACCTGCAGGAATGTTTGTTTTCCTGCTAGCAGTACCTGGGGTCACCCAGCTGTGCTCCTGACTCAGCTCTGGAGTGTTCACAAACCCCTGAACTGGAGACACTCTCTGGAGATTCCATTTTTTGTGCTCTACAGCAAAGCTCCTGATTACAATTCAACAGCTACCTTTTGTACTCACAGAATTCAAAACATTTTCAAAAAATACTTGAATGGAGGAAAATGAAAGGAAATAAAGAGAGGGAGGGAGGCAGCAAGAGAGAGCCATCAGAGAGTGAGCTATCAGCTAATCAGTAAATGTGCAGAACTACAGCTTTGTACCTGGTGGTCTAAACCATTAAATTAGCACCCATTAGGCTAAGGAGCTCCAGTTCACCACTGAACAGAGCTGGCATGCCCAAGGCTGGCAGGGCAAGGGAGCAAAGTGCCCTCAGCAGTGCCCCATGCCACATCCCAAGTTGGCTTTTCCTCTGTCCTTGCTATCTCAAAGAACTTGGGACTTTGCAAATCTACTTGCCTTGATTTTCTCCTGTCTTTCTCATTCCTTTTGGAAAAGTTCTTGTTCAGAAGGCCTTAGGGAAGCTTTGTGTCTTCCCTTTTCTCTCTGCTGTTTCTCCATGGCAGGAGATATGTATATTCCTCTTGTTTTTATCTCTTTTGGGAACAAAATCATCCTCCCCATGAACCCTGTTTTATTTATTTAAGATTATTTAAACCACGTCAGTCTTAAGTGTCTCCAGAAATTAATTTTCCTTTTAATAAATCTCTTTGAATATGTTTATTAACAGAGATGATACTTCACAACAAYAATATGTTCCTGTCACTATATAATTTTAGCAGCATTTACCATTTACACCAGAGGATCCTTTAACCAGTTTTCACCGACTTTCCAATCAGTTTCCCCCAAACAACCTATTCTTCACAGATTTAAATACTGTACATATTTAAATAGGCACATGTATGTCTCATCAAAAGCCTGTAATTTTCAGATAACCTTGGTGACAGAAATTGCTTACCTGAAAGAAACCACCTGAGCTGACCTAAAGTAACGTCCTAAAGCTGGAGAKGAGCTGTAGACCTCTGTTAGCTGAGAGAGAAAAAAAAAACAAAACAAAACATATTTCTTCTCTCCAATCTCTCTTTCCCCACAAAAAAAATCCCACAGCAAATCATTCTTACAAGGTGCTTTAAGGAGCATAAAAACAGGTGCTGAAGGTCAAATAACAGCAAATATCTGCCCTTGAAAAGGTACAGAGACCCTTTAAATTTGACAGACAAGTTAATTGTGTATTTGGGTGATTGCTATATAACCTTAACACAATGGAGGCATTCAGGGTGAAYTAAAAGTCTGTGCTCATGCTGCCATGTGCAATTGATGCTGTTAGGTTTGGGATCTAATTAGTACCAAAAAAAGCTCTTCTAACCCTTCCTTCACAGAGGGAGGGCTCTCTCTACTGAGGCTCCCCTCCCACAGYGTCTGAACGAGCACTGCCATGGACCCTGAGCTCATTTCAGCTGTTACTTGGAGCTGTGCTGGCTCAGTAGAAATCACAGCTATAAACCCAGGCTGGAATCATGTGCTCATGAGAGAATATTTAGCCTGTGTTGTGCTGAGATGACTTTCACAGACCTCCCTAAAATATTCAATGATTGTATGAAAAAGGTGAAGACTCTGGCTTAACAACTGGTCAAATTTAGRGGGAAAAAGTCAGATTCTTTTTTATGCGTAAGAAGAGACAATTATTTTTCTTCTACATCAAGTCTTTAAAAAATACAACACATCTTTTTTGTGTATTTGCAAATGACTAAGTTGCTACACAGAGAAACAGAAACTTCTTAAAAGGCAAAACACTGAAACTATGTTCTAAGCAGAATCAACTTTGCCAAAAACCACAACACTTACCCTCTTAGTAATGTCCTTGGAGAAAAAGTGTGGGAGGCCACACATTAACTCCAATGTTCCTGAAAAATTGTGAAAATTTCCACTATTTAGTAGTTCATCAGGATCCCAGTAGTCATCCTCATCTGTGTAAACATCTAATAATCAAAAGGAGATAAAAAAGGAAGGAAAAAGTTTCAGTGAGCTGAAGAATTGAAAAGAATAAAAACGCTCTTGGCTTTCTCCAGGGTGAAAAGAGTGGCTTTCTCCCAGGTTTTCTAGGTAAGGAGTGACTGGGAATGACAGAAAGAAAGTGCAAGCCACCTGAAAAAAATTGACAGCACATGGAGGTCAATCAYCCACCCTCATTACAAAAAGTCATCTGCTCTGGGAGCCTGGCAGGCAATGACAGCACYGGGTCTAAGTCATCCATGGCACTTGCTCCAACATGATAAACATAATTTCCATCCTCAGACCCAAATATCTTCCTGTAATATTTTCTCATTTAGCTACAAACTGGAATTGCCACCTAATAGAAGCTGCTCACTGCCTGATAAAAGCATTGCCACCCACTGCTGAACACATCATCCCTGCAGTATCCCAATTCCTTCAGCACTTCACTGAAAGTTTAAAATATGCTCCTGTTGCATTTGAGTTCTATTAGACTGTACCACATACATGTTTGTATGAGTGTAACCAAGAGTGAGATACTTACTYGAATAAAGAATTAGGCTGATGAGAATAACCAGGAAGATCACTAGAAATATCGTGGTTATAACCATCCATAGTTTACACTTCCAGAAAACTACATTCCTGCATGATTCCCAGTGCTCTCTCTCCTGGGTATAAAGAGAAGGTTGGTTCATCAAATAAAGCAGGAAAAAATATTGAAKCTTGTCTCTATTATCACATTAAGAATCAAAACCCCCACACCAGGGGTTCTCACCCTTGGYTACTGCTGCAAGAGGGAATGCAGACCTAGAGAAGGCAAAGGGCATTCACTTGAGAGAGAGAGAGAGAGAGATCATTCCCTTTGTGCAGAATTTCCAGCTCCTGAATTCCCCATTGAGCTAAAGTATTACAAGGGTGTTTTCTTAGCTCTATTTTTTTTAACTACATGAATTAAATTTGAGTATTCCACAAGCTCTCCTTTTAACGTTTGTCATCTCTCCCAACCAAAAAGGTGTCTGTGGAGGTGTTTTCAAAATCATTCACCTCTGCAGCATTGATGATATCAATCTGCATAGCTCCTGGGTGCCAGCACCTACAGCAAAGGCAGTGCTATTCAATAGGCACTATTGCATAAAATCTGCCATAAAGTAATCAAGACTTTTATAGCTGTCTTAATTTTTCTTCACAAAATTGGAAACTTGAAGGCTATTGAATATATTTAACAGAGAGTTTAATGCAAATCTCACCTGTTCTATGAGGTCATAAGAAAACTTAAAGCAATTGTACATGCATGTGCATTCATATGGGAGAGAAAGGACAATACCTTGGCTGTAATATAATTTTTAATAGGATTGAAAACCATGGCAGAAATGAGTCTTTTAATGACTTCACCCAGCAGGATGAATATTAAAACTAAAAAGAAAAAACAACAAGCCAAACCCTAAAAAACCCAAAACAAACCGAAACAAAAAGGCCCCCCCCAAAAAAAAACACATGAAAAAGGAGCAAACTTAGGTGACAGCAACACAGAAAACTTTATCTATTTTGTTCCACAGCAAGAAGAATCAGAAGACTGAAGGAAGGGCTTGAGTTCACAAGCAGACCATGCTGCCCTTTAAATTCTTCCTCCCCTGCCTCTCCATCCACCACAGAGCCAGGGGTAAACTCGTTGTCCTTTCTGACATCAGTACCAGGTAAGGACAAGAATGTGCTGTGGCTTGTCTGGGCCACACATGTGCAGATTGGCAGGAACCAGCTGCTGGAGGTACTAATCCAGGTTTCCTTCCTTTACTTTTTGAACTTTCTAAGAAGCCAGCATAAYAGAGAGGCTTTCACTGAATTTAACTGAATCTGAATTTAACAGCTTTCACTGAATTTAACAGCTGGCTAAAAGCTTTTGTGTAGGTGGCAGGGGAACAGGGAGAGAAAACAGACACAAGGAAAGATCTTACAAAAGACATTCCTTTGGAGAAAAGGCAGAAAAAGGGAAACACTCTCTGCACAYACCTCTGCACACAGAACTTTGCTTTGCTGGAGAATGAAACGCAAACACTGAATATGGTTTCGTTTACAACATGCTTTCAGCTGTCATCACATTTACTTTTTTTACTTTACTTTTTAGAAAAATATTTTAGAAGTATGAATTTCAATGTAATACTTAACACTAGCATATCRTTATGTATTGGAAAAAAATTTAAAAGCCAGTAATTACTGCCTAGAGTGCAACTGTGAAATCAGCCACAGCCTCATCAGTTCAGACAGACAAGACAGCCCCAAGTTTTGACTGTGCCATCGCACACTGTTTAGACTAGCACAAAAATAATTCTTAATCCTACATAGCAAACTGGCTTGATGCCAAGAAAACACTGAGATGCACAACCAGTCCAACACCTTCTGGACTTTGTCCACAGGCCGGGGGGAGGCAGCAGCAGCAGAGTCTGTCCCCGATGGGCAGGGCAGCTCTGATTAACCTGCCCCCTGAGAAGAAAGCAGAGCGCCTGAACTTTCCGGCGGTCTCTACAGGACGGGAAGGCAGCTGCCAGAATCAGCAGAAACAGAGCTCAAATGAAGGCTCAGTTCTGGAACGGGGAAGGATGAACTCAAGGGTAAAGTTTCTCAAGATAGCCGAGCAGGTCTAGCTCACCTCTGCCTCTCCTCCACCCTCTCCTCTCGGAATGTGTGTGATCCTGCAGCAAGCTGATTCAGCTTAGCGGAGCAGAGGAGAAATGACCCCTGATATAAGAGAATGTGACCCCTGACATAAGAGAACGAGGGTGGTTTTTGGCCGGTCACGGAACGAGCAGGGATGAGCAGGGATGAGCGGGGATGAGCGGGGCTCTCCCGAGGAAGCGCTGCCGCTCCCCAGCGGGTGAAGGCACGGGCTCTGTGACTCACGCAGCTCCCGGCGGGCTCAGCCCCGCCTGCAGAAAAGCGGGAAACATCCTTACTCTGCCACCAGTATTCCCGGAATAACTGGTGTAATTCATAGTGCAGCAGTCACGTGTGAATATGTTATTCCTCTGTTACTCCTAGTCTGTTCCGTAGCTTTAAACTAAGGACTAGGAGCTACCTCTTTCTGGATTCACTTAATTGAGGAGCATTCACTTAACTATGGAGCATTCTATYAATACAAATTCATAATGGTTGGCAWCTGAAAATTACTCGGAGATAAAGAGAACCCAGCATGCGCTGCCAGAGGACATCTTATTTTTGTTTTGGCAATACTGTGTCCTGGTTAATTTGTGCTGAAGGAAAGCCTGGTTTTAAAACCAGTTTCAACTTTTCACCTTTCTGGTTTTGAGTCCAATCCCACTGACTGCACATGAAAAGAGAAAGCAAAACTCAGAGAACCAATTACAATTTCAATTCCTAAATTAAAGCTTAAAATCCCACTCTCATGTTACTGAATGTTACTGTTAATGAACACTTCATTAGTAAGAAAAATAACCACCACATTTAACAGGTTTTCAGCCTGTTTCCCTCTCCCTCAAACAACAGATTAAACCACCCCTCCAAGATTTTCCTGCATCATTTCTCTTGCTGTGTAGCATTTTTCCCGACAGGAAGGATCAAATGAGCAAGTGGAATTCCTACCTTTCTCCTCTGAGCATTTCGAGGCTTGTTATGATCAGCCTCTCTTTCCTTCTCATTTTCTTCTTGTAACTGAATCACCTCATGCTCTTGAGCAGAGTTCTGCCTGTTCATTGCTGCTGTCTCTCTGCGAGCGCTCTTGTCTCTGAAGCAAGCACGGAGACAACTCATTTCCTCTTGGTTTCAGCTGAAGTTATGGTCAGTAACAGCTCTAATGTAAGGCTGGAAACAACAGGGAGAATAGTTTTCACAGGAAAGGTCCCAAAGCACTGTTAAATAAGGGGAATTCCTTGGGAGGGCACATAACGCGAGTGCCCTGGCTGGAGAGAGGCGGGAGGGGGAGGAAGTATCGATTTGCGTGGCCGTGAGAACTCGGGCTCTCAGCTGTGCAATACTCGGCTTTCCAGTTTGCCTACTTTCMTGCACCAGCCCTAGACAAGCAAGTGACTAAACCTTCAGCAACGCTGTCCTTTGCTGGCATGGTTTTGAAAGGAACCAGAGTGCTTTTCCCCACTGCTATYAGCCAAAAAATTAAAATGCTGTTACTATTATCCATGCTGCTAAACAGATGTGGTGCTGAAAAGCACAAACTGAGTAAAAGTTCATCTAGCCTGTTGTTCGCTTAGGCTGGGACTCCATCAACGCTCGTAATTCTATTTTTGTCAYGATCAGCTCTAAAGTCAATAAAGAAATGAACACTACTGACCTTTGTGCTGTAAATCGTTCTCTCTGTAACTGTTAAACAACCTGGAATCACATCTGGTGTTAAAGAACCATTTATGTCTTTTAACGTAGTATCCAATCGAAACCTGAGAAKCTGCTTCCAGGTAAAAAGCCCCCAAAGGATGTATAAGAAAATGGCCTTCAATTTCAATCTGTGCTCTATAGGACATGCTTTTGTGAAACAATCATGGTTATTTGACCTGCACTATCTTCCCACATGAACTCTCATGTGCACTTAGAGCCACTCACAACAGTTTATTGCAGTCGGTGGCTGATTACTCCCCCAGCCTCCCCAATATCCTTCTTCCTACCTCCTCTTATTTCTTCTGTTCACACTCCATCCATGTGTTTCTCCTTCCTCCCCACAGAGCATCTCTGTCCCCCCTGGACCAGTAGGTCTTGGCAGACAGCTGTAACCATACCCTCGCTCCCTCTCTTGTCCCAGCACAGGGAGTATCACACATTAAGAACCAAACACAGCCTCTCTCCCCAGCCCCTTTCCTGCTGCCTGGGTATCCACTCACAGCACTGCTCCTTTTTCCTGACAAAAGCTCGGGGTGCCTCCCCTTGCCCCACCACTTCAGTTTTCTCTTTGTGCACTCACCTGGCTGCTGCTGCCTGAAACATGCCCAGGGCTCGGGTTCTTGATGTCACGTCACAGCCGTGCAGGCAAAGGCACTCCATGAAAGTGAGCACGTCTTAGGTTKATTCCACAAGTAAAAAGAAATACAAACTCTATGCCCCACATCCTTTGGTTCTTAAAGCTTAAAACTCTGAGAATCCTTAAAGCTCTGGAGGACTGAGGGTGAAGCTGAGCAGTCATTGAGATCAGAACATGTGTCTGGATCCACAAAATATTATTTAGGATGTCTTAAACTAGAAAAGTCTTTATCTGGTTCTCAATACTCCTAATGGATACCAGGTTCATTAATTTCATTTCCACTCATAGTAGAACATTTTACCTTACTACTGAATTGTCTGAAACCAAACTGTTGCTCTAAGACAAAGAGTTAATGATTACACCAATCTTGCCACGCAATGGCCAAAGTCCATTTTTTTAATGTATTTGTGAAGGACTCCTTAAAGTCTTGGGTTTCCTTCATCTGGGGGATCTAACTTCCACACTTGGTGCATTTCTTGCACATGAAGTACTGACCYTTCTGCAKGTTGCTRAGAAAYTCYCAGAGAAAATGGGAAATSAAGAACTGACCTGAACTTTCTGGGCTAGGCTATAATCTAAAACAGAACAGAAAGAAAGCTGTTTTCTTCCCTAGGAAAGACATCTCTGTTTCAATAAAAGGAAAAGAAACTTGTGCCCTTAAATGTATGCTTTAGTAACAGGGGCAAGCTGGGCTCAGTTTTACAGAAAGAGGTACATACGCAGTTCTGATTGCACCAGAGATTAGAGTTTCGGAGGCACAAATCAAACAAACAAAACACAGCTCCTTGCAGTTTTAGCACATGTTTATTAAAAAGCAAGGTGTGAATGATTGACTAGCYATTAAAGAAACAAACCTCCTGACATGCAGGCTTTGAGTAGAGCTTATGATGTGAGTTTGACACGAGCCTGGGCAAGATGCCCAGTGCAGGAAAGGAAGACAAAGCAAGAGCAGTGCTAGAAAGAGGAATCTCACTGCATGCAGTGCTAGCTCTTTTCAACATTTCCCCCACACAGTGCCAAGGAGGGTCTAGCATTAAGCGTGCTGTGTGGACAGCAGTGACAGGGATTCAAACAGCAAGCTTCATTTTTTTTAATATATAATATATATTGAAGGTGAAAGCTAAACACTTCCAGATATTGAACACAAATTAAAGACCATCTAAAWGTTCTTAAGGTCATMTWKASWGTTCTTTTAYTAAGCTAAGTACCAGTATTCTGAAGTCCCATAAACAGCTTTGGAAARSTTAAATTGGCTTGATTYGGAGTGATCAGTTYATCAGRAGATTAAAATTATCAAACCRGATTTACTGACAGGGTTAAAGGAAYGTTGCTGCCATTTCTTCTTYYACTTTCTTTRAGCCCAAGGAYGYATCCAASCCCATAAATCCATTTTTAKTTTRTGCCTATTTAATTTCATTGTGGCCTTGTGAGCACAGCCCAGGAAGATACGCAAAAGAAAAATCCTGAGCCTGAAACTCTGGTTGCTGGGACCAAGGACAGCAGGAAAAACTATGTGAACCTACCAGGAACATGCTAAAAATTCACAATGGATGCCAGAGCCAGAGCTGGAGAAATACACCTGTAACATATTGCAAGCATTAGACACTACAGTTGTGTTCAAATTCTAAAGAGAATGTAAGAAAACATTAAAGTTTCCTTTTGTTTAGTTACAACTCATTACTTCCTTCCTTTTTATTTTGCCAATGAACCTAAACTATGCTCTTTCAGGACTTTAATGAAAATTTCTTGCATCTTAACAATTTTGTGCTATATGTCTGCTATTTTTAAGAAAACACAGTAGACAGCCTAAAAGTTGCAGCCCAGAAAGTAAAAGTCATAGAGTGGCAGCATAACTAGAGGGTGAATTATTCTCARCTTTGTACACTATACACTATTTGTRTTTTTGAGAACTATGAAGTAATTATTATTTCTAATATCACAAAGGAGTTGAATACATATGGAATGTGGCCACCTGAATATCCAGTCATGTGTACGTGGAAACGAATGTAGATAACAAGGGACAAGGAAGGAGAGGAGAAGGTTTACGAACGAGATGTGGCTGGATTTTTCTTAAGGTTCTAATCCACTTAATTTTGTTTTTAAGGCAGTGYTGCTTCTGTAAATGGGCATTAGGAAGATGCATCCATAAAGAATCTGAATTTCCTCTGAAATGGAACAGTTATTACTAGGTGAACCACAAATGATCATTTCTTCATTAAAAAAAGTATATTCTTTCACAAAGGAACAGTCCATGGCATTTTCATGTTGTATATCAGATTGGTGCAGTAGGAAGCAGCTTTCACACAGAGATGATCTGCATTTCCTCCTTGGCTCCTCAGTTTGTGTTGTGACGGATCCAGTCATAAAGTGCTGTCACCTTGGTGTACACCCCRGGACGATTGCGCCGAGCACATCCTTCACCCCAGCTCACGATGCCAGCAAGGTACCATCTATTGCYCCTTCCTGTGCAGGCCAGAGGACCCCCAGAATCTCCCTAAAAATTAAGGGAGTTCAGCCATTAGTGCACACACAGAGCACACTGAAACAAAAACTACCTTTTTTAGCAACAGTAAATACCTGCCCCCCTTTTTCCCAAATTAAAACTTAATGAGAATCTTACTTCTGGATAGAATGCACCCAGCCAGATTTATTCAATTATTTTAACTTATGGAAGTAGCACACTCATCAGTATAAAGCCAATGGCAAAAAGCAGTTTATAAAACTACTCCTTGATAATGTGCCATTACTGGATTCACAGAATAACTCACCACAGCCCAAATAGGGAGCGAAGGAGACAGGGATGGAAATGGGGAATCCTACTGCAATTTGACCMTAAATTGTTCACAGGTTGAAGGCAGATCTCTTACACTGGGTGTTAAATAGGAACAGAAAGATACCACACACCCCCAAACAAAAGAAGCCAACAAACCAAAACAAACCCAAACACAACAAATAAGCCAGGCACAATTTAGTATTATCAGAAGTTTTGTAGTGAACACTGTATCTACATTTGTAGAGGCAGAAGAAGGAACAAAGACTAAGGAAAGTGCAAATAGGAACTGGCTTCTCAAATGGAACATGCAGGTTTGCACAGCAATGCCAAAAATTAATAATTCCTATTCAGTTCAGTTCACAGGATCAAAATGCATTTTGGATCATCAATGCTTTTTTGCCCTTCATTGCTTTAACTTTGTATGTCTCTTGTRCACTGTTCACAGAACTCTGGCAGCTACAGGGCAGCTCCTCTGCAGCTGTTCCTAATGCACACGAGGCTGTCAGCAGCCTCCAGATTGACCCTGGSGTTTGTTTGAGCCCCCAGTCAGAGCCAAAACATGAGAGAGGTCAGAAGAAAGCATTGAGAAAAGAGTAACAACAGAAAAGGGTARCAACAGAAAGCCTTCATTGCCCAACCAAACAAAATTATCTAGAGATAACAGGAAAAGCCAGAGTTCTTCCTCTCTCTCAGMCTGCTGTCATACTAGAAATTTTGAWAATCCAAGAGTAGGATCTCAAAGTGACTTGAGAAAGGAGGCTGCATAGTCCAGCCAGTTACTCAGCCAGTTCTGTCTGGAAGCATAGTAAAGGGGGTTTTGGGTRCTCTGTGGGTTTCCTGAACTCCCAATGTCATTTCTCTCTGGCACTGTACAGAAAATACTTACTATTTCCTGTAAAGGAAATACTACTATATGTTACATAAAATACACACTAGTGACAGAAAACAAAAAAAATTATAGCAATAATAGCAAACAAATATAGCAAAGATGCTATCCAGACTAAGAACTGAAAGACACAGAGGGCCAACATGCTAGAACTCAAAGGCAGCACACCATGCTGGAAACTGGCCAGTGTGATATATAGCTGAATTGGTTAAAAATGMCCATCTGAAAAGTCAAGGGCATTTCTTAAGCAGCACATTTTTTGAAGCAACATGACGCCTCTAAATCAACATATTTTAGCAAAACAATTCCAAGGTCTAAGTTTATAGACAAAACTGTATATCATGTTAATAAAAATAGTAACTAATTTAATTAGAATTTTGAGACTGAAAGAAAATGCTGCAAATAGTCTGTTGTGGATAAAGAAGTTTGACCCATCATGAGCTACCATCTTGCAAAAGTTATCCTATTGCATTAAAATAATATAATTTATATATAACATGAARATCATAGCAAATTGCCTGAATCTAATAATCAGTAACATATTTCTCTCCCCTTTACACAGTAATTGGTATAAAAAACATGTTTCTAATTTTGAAAGTTGATATTCATTATCAGAAGTTTGAACACCAATGAAGTACACAACTAATAACAGAAGGAGAAAGAAGGGAGTCAGGACAGGTGAGATACGACTAAACGCAGTTTTTGACAGTGTGTGTAAACAGGCTGATTTTTATGACTTACACTACTGTGACGTAGTCAAAACTTTTAATTAATTATACGCATGAATGAATATTTGAAATGAAAAGGCACCATTGCTGCTGCAGTTCCYAAACCTAGCTTAGCTTTTCCTTTTGAATTTCTTTGTAACTGTAATATATTATTCATTATAGCATTACGGCATTCTAGCAAATCCACACTCAGATATTAAAAAAGATAAAATTAAATCAATGCAAATAACAGAATTCACAGATGGACCTAAATTGATTCCTTTTATGTTTATATTTTTGTTCTCTTGTATGAAATATAAATGTTGAAGATGCATTATTCTGACACATTTTACCCCTTGTCTTTGCRAAATGATATTTCTCAAGAGAGTCAGAGATTAGCTATGCCAAATTTCCTTCCTTATTTTGGTGAGCTATTAGTTGCCATGTTAAAATAACCCTATGCTCACACTCAAGACATCTCACTGTGTTAGTAATTTTAAAAAAGGAAAGCAAAAGCAAAATTACACAAACAGCCTACAACCCTGAAAAGTTTTCCARTGAAAGCAAATATTCCTTTGCAGTTTTCCTACAAATTCGAGATACCTGGCATGCATCAACGCCACCATTAAGATTCCCAGCACACAGCATACGTGATGTAATAAGATCATCATACAGCTTRTTGCAAACACTTTGGTTAATCATTCTCACTCGAGCTTCTTGCAGTGTTTTGGCAAGATGGCCTAGAAAAAAATGCAAGTGGTATTGCAGAGGTTAAGGTGGCACAAATTTCTAATAGAGATAACACTTATCAAAACAAAAGAGACTTGCTTCAAACTCAAAATTTACCCAGCTAATGACAGCAGAGTAACTCCCTTCCCTTCAAAGAGTGCCCTAGTTTTTGAAAGTTGCTGTCCACACTACCGTACAGCCACAGAGGTCCCAATGCACCACCTTTC